AAACCACAAGACAGCAGAACACTGTGTAACCACATCGATGGCAGTTTCTTTTTCTTTTTTTACCTCTGAAATCAGTTAAAGCTAATTAAGGAAAAATGAATTTTGAATGTCCAAACAGAAAGAAGCTAGTGATCATTAGGCTCCTTCATTCTCTAAATTTGCCAAAGTTAATGGTAAAAAGAAAAAGAAATTGTAGACATTCTATATCCTTTTACTCTTACTCTCTTGAGGGAATGAGGGACTGAGACCCTCTTTATTTCACTTTGCAAGATTGTTTTTGACATCCTAGATAGGAGAATATTTGTTCTATTAAAAAAAAACACACACGCAATAAGCCTCGGGGCACAAAAATTCAGTATCTCTCTTAGTAACTCTAGTTTATTCTGCATCTGGAAATTCTTGTGTCTGACTTGATTTCTTTCTACATCAGTTTATTTTTCTTAACTCAATTTTTATTGAATATGATATAGTAAAATGCATAAACTTAAGTGTATGACTGATTTTTTTTTTACAAATATGTATGCACATGTGACCACCACCCAGCATCTTGGAATCCTCTCTCTTGGACCCTCTCAGTCAACACCGAACTCTCAAGGGTAATTGTCACCCTAACTTCCATCAACATAGATTAGTATTGCCTGTCTTCGAACTATATAAAAGTGAAATCATGCAGTACTGTTTTGTATCTGGCTTCTTTCATGCAGCGTTTTATGTGTGAACTTCATCTACATTGTTAGGTGTAGTAGCAGTTTATTTTTCACAGTTATATAGTATTCTGTTGTATTAATATGGCTTATATGTATCCATTCTACTGTTGATGGATATTTGGATTATTTTCATTTTGGGGTGATTATAAATAAAGTTACTATGACATTGGTTGTCATGCCTTTGGGTGAATATATGTCCTCATTTCTGTTAGGTGGGAGCGGGTCATAAGGTGTGAAATATTCTACTTTAGTAGATACTACTAAAGATTTTTCCAGAACGACAGTAATAATTCACAGTCTCTCCAGCAGCAGTTGACTGTTACAGTCATTGCTCATTCTCAGCAACTGTTGGCATTATCGGTTTCAAATTTTTTAGCCATTCTGTTGGGTGTGTTAAGGTATCTCATTGTAGTTTTAATTTAGCCATTATTAGGCTAATAATGTTAAACACCTTTTTAGGAGGTGTTTTATTGGCACTTCTTTTATAAAGTGCCTGTTGCAAGTCTTTGCCCAGTTTTTTCTTATTGATTTAAAAGAGTTATTTTGGGTAAGTCCTTTGTCAGGTATATGTATTTTATATATCTTCTCCCACCTTGTAACTTGCCTTTTAACTCTCTTAATTGTGGCTTCTAATGAAGACAGGTTTTTAATTTTAATGAAGTCACATTTATTTTTTCTTTTATGTTTTATTTAAGAAATCTTTGGCCAGGCACGGTGGCTCATGCCTGCAATCCCAGCGCTTTGGGAGGCTGAGGCAGGTGGATCACCTGAGGTCAGAAGTTTGGGACCATCCTGGCCAACATGGCAAAACCCCATCACTACTAAAAATACAAAAATTAGCCAGGCATGGTGGCATGCATCTGTAATCCCAGCTACTTTGGAGGCTGAGACAGGAGAATCGCTTGAACCCGGGAGGCAGAGATTGCAGTGAGCCGAGATCGTGCCACTGCACTCCAACCTGGGCAACAGAGTGAGACTCTGTCTCAAAAAAAAAATAAATAAATAAATAAATTTTTAAAAAAACTTTGCCTACACCAAGGTCTTGAAGATACTGTCCTATATTTTCTCTAGAAGCTTTATTGTTTTACTTTTCACATTTATGTCTGGGATCTCTCTGGAACAGAATTTTTTACATGGTATTGGGGGTGGGGGATAAAGTTCCGCTTCCCCTCAGTACCCAGTATTGAAAGGACTGCCCTTTCCACTCTTCTTTATGGGCACTTTTGTCATAAGTCAGATGACTGTCCTCTGAGTGCCTGTTTCTGGACAGTTTATTCTGTTTTTATTCCAATGTTTCTGACAATTTGATCAGTTTTACTTTATAAGAAAGTGTTGGTATTCAATCCTCTGACTTTGATCTTCAGAACTGACCTTGCTATTCTTGTTTTTGTTTTTCATTTCTATTATAAATTTCAGAGTCAGCTAGCCAATTTGTATAACACATACAGAAGCCCCTTAGGGTTTTCTTGGGGGAAGGTGGGGATTACTTAATTCTCTAGAACAATTTTAGGAGAATTAACATCTTTCTCAGTGTAAGCTGATTTTTTCATATTCTACCTTTAGTGGATGTAAAAGCCCCGCTTGCCCCATTTGGGCTGAATGAAGTCTCGGGCTCCAGCGTGAGCCACGGATTCCCACTGTTATTTGAGTTCCAAAGGGAAGTTGGGTTGCGAATCTTTTTTTTTTTTTTTTTTTTTGAGACAGAGTCTCGCTCTGTCGCCCAGGCTGGAGTGCAGTGGCCGGATCTCGGCTCACTGCAAGCTCCGCCTCCCGGGTTCACGCCATTCTCCTGCCTCAGCCTCCCGAGTAGCTGGGACTACAGGCGCCCGCCACCTCGCCCGGCTAGTTTTTTTGGTAGTTTTTTAGTAGAGACGGGGTTTCACCGTGTTAGCCAGGATAGTCTCGATCTCCTGAGCTCGTGATCCGCCCGTCTCGGCCTCCCAAAGTGCTGGGATTACAGGCTTGAGCCACCGCGCCCGGCCTGGGTTGCGCATCTTTAGCGACTCCTCTGGATCTTTTCTGTGCCATCTCTGCCCTGCTCTGTGACTTAGGAGGGTGACTGGTTTGGGCTCATGCAATGGGCTCCTTTTCCTCTGGCTTCCAGTTATGTTAAGGCAGGCAATCAGAAGGAGAGAAGAGTGTGAGGTTCAGGTATTTATTTCCTGGCTTCCTCCCTGCCAGATCATTTTGGGTTAGCTGTGTCCCTACCAATGGCGGTTACAATTCATACCTACCAGGCAATCTTTTCCTTCTAGCCTTCTCTCTCTGGCTCCCCTTCAGCTTAAGGGTAGTAATGGCTCCCCCAAACCTAATGTGGGTACCACATTAACCCTCATTATTTCCCAACACCTTTCCAAACCTTTGTTAAGCACTCTCCAAATCATGCAATTCACGCAGGTCATCTGTTTCCTGCCAGGACCCTGATTACTACAGAAGTGGCGATTTTCTAGGCAATATTAAAAGGTACTTTGAGAATGAGGACCAGTTACACCAATGGTGATAACCTTGCTGAGTCTGCTTACAAAATGTGTCTCTGGCTAAACCTGCCTGAGTACAGCATAGAGGCTTTAGCTTTCTCTTTCTGGCATCGTGTTAAAGTATCAAGGGACTCTTTATGATTTAAAAAGTAAGATTAGTAGCCTTGAAGTGTGCCCTTAAGTGTCCATAAGCATTTTAGCCATGAGTTATTTTTCACTTTTTGCCTTACTAAGTTGATAATAGATGCTTGTGGTGTTTGTGCTTGCGTCTGAGAAATATCCACAGCACTGCCTGAGGATGTCAGTAGGAGAGGTGAGAGTGTCAAACAGGAACAGACTTTATGACTTTAAAGTAATAATAAAATTGCTGCTATTTGAAAAATTAGGCTCGAAGCACTTCTAGGGACCTCAGCCTCAAGCTGCAGTGAACAAGAGAGAGTTATTCTAATTCTTAAATGGAGTCTTACATTGAAGTTGTTGAACTCCTCTTTTGACAGTTGGGTTATTTAGTTGTCTGCTTTAGCAATGAATTTTTGGAATGACATCTGTAGTGCTGGTGAGGACTGCTGAATTTCTTGCACTGAAATAGAAATCAGGATGTCATTTGCTGACAACGGTAATTAACCCGAATCACAAATCAGATTGTGCTGGCAAATATGACGGTGTAATAACTGCTAGAGGTTCAAAATGAAAAAGTCAATAGCAAATAAAACAGGATATCACATAGTTTTTAATGAAGCTTTAGCTTCTTAAAAAGCGAGCCTAAGTGGAGTTCCCTTTTCAATTGGACAAGGCTACTTAGGTGTTCGTTTCTGTGCATGCCGAGGTGAGTTGTGGCTTTTGTTTTTGGTATCACCTGGTGCAGCTACTGATTTGCTGTCTACAGTAGCCCCTTTGGTTTACTCTCCAGGTAGCATCCCTGTGGCATCACAACCCCCCAGACCATGTGCCCCAGGAGACCGCATCATCTCCTGTACTAGAAGTGGCAAAATGGTGGCCATTAGGCATGTTTGTTTGTCCCACATATTACTTTTATAAATAGTTTAAAACTGGGAGACACAAATTAAAGAAAAAACAGTTTCTGATTTTTCTTGGAAAATGGGATGATCTGAATACTGTGGGGCCTCCTCACCACATGGTGATGATGGGCTGTGATGGGGGGGTGGGGCGCATGCTCAGCAGGGAGCCATGGTGTCACCTGGCTGCAGGACCCACCTGACCTACGAGGCATGTGTTGATGTGTTAAATACATCAGGGGTGGTTCTGGGTACCACAGGTGAGGAAGAGAAATAATTGATTCTATTATTTCTGTCTGTGTATCATTGGTATAAGAAACTCCAAGCTCCAAGAGGCCAGAGACCTTGTCCATCTGTCTTGGTATACCCCAAATTCATAAATGTTAATTGAACTGAAAAGAACCTCAACTTAGGAAGGTAAATCTGGTGATGGTATTCAGGGGGCTTAAAGGAGGGTACTGAACATTTGAAAAAGACTATAACCATAAGGATGGCTGAGGACACAGACTAAGACAGTAGCAGAGGGAAGAGGGAAAGAGGAAATCCTGAGACAATTCAAATAAACGTTCATTAGATTTAGAGACCGGTAGGATGTGAAGGAGAAAAGGAAAGGATGATCTTGAAGCCTCAAGGGGTAGTGGTGCCATTAGTCCAGTTAGGAGGATGGTTGGTGAAAGCCACAGGATCCTTTCTGCTTCCCTATCTCCAGTCTTTTGACATGAGGAATCTCGGGCTTAATCATACTGATTTAGCTAATGCTAATAATGAGCTGAATTGTCCCCTTATGTTTTTAATCCCAGAGCTAAGACCATCAAGAATACAGTCTCTGTGAACCTAGAACTGACAGCAGAAGAATGGAAGAAGAAATATGAAAAAGAAAAAGAGAAAAACAAGACTTTGAAGAATGTTATCCAGCATCTGGAGATGGAGCTGAACAGGTGGAGGAATGGTAAGGAAAAGTAAAGAGGAAGAGTGAGGCATGAGTGTGTGCTTTTTATTTTTATTTTTTTTTGAGACGGAGTCTTGCTGTGTCACTCAGGCTGGAGTGCAGTGGTGTGATCTCGGCTCACTGCAACCTCTGCCTCCAGGATTCAAACCATTCTCCTACCTCAGCCTCCCGAGTAGCTGGGATTACAGGCACGAACCACCACACCCGGCTAATTTTTGTAATTTTTTTTTTTTTAGTACAGATGAGGTTTTACCATGTTAGTCAGGCTGGTCTTGAACTCCTGACCTCAAGTGATCCACCCACCTCGGCCTCCCAAAGTGCTGGGATTATAGACGTGAGCCAACATGCGTGGCCGAGTATGTGCTTTCTTCTTCTTGTGACTGTTGGCATCCTGGGAGGCACTTGGGAAAGCTGGGACAATGGTACAGCTTGATTCCTCCTGGCAACAACCTGTATGAACAAGCAGAGATTTTCTTAGTCCCTAACACAGGCACCATCCCCATCCCATCACTTGGCTAGCATGCATTGTTAGTGTGGACCAGTGATTATCTGCAAGACTGCCTTAATCTGCTTCCAGTGAGATGCCCTCTATCCAATATTGTAATAACTTGCTGGTACCCCTATTTGTAGGTTAGAGGAAAGTGCCTGAGACTTAGTGGCTCAGACTGCTTTTGACTTAAATGAAAAATGTCATTCTCTCCTATGTGAGTTTTATCACTGGTTTGGGATTAAAAGTCTACCTCTGGCAAATACTTGCATTTTTTGACCGAACTCATCTTCATGCCAGAAATATAGGGCTCTTGAAGGAGCCCTGTGCTAAAATGGAGTCTTAAAGGCTTGGTTCGTGACTCGTTTTCCTTCTTCCCCAAAACATTCTCTTTGGTTTGTTCTACAGGGAGAAAATATCTCAGAGAGCTGACATGCAGTGGGTGGGTGGGTTGTGGGTGAGGTGTTAAGAGGGGTTTCCAGATCTAAGTGCAGACAGATTATTTTAGTGATTTTAGCATTGTGACGTAGGTTAGAAGGTAGAAGGCTTTTTAATTTTTTTTTTCTTTTTAACTAAAATAAGGCAGGTTGGTGTGTGTGTAGGGGAATGGCGGATAGTTGGAAGTGGTTCTTCAGGTCCTCTGCTGCTGTACTCAGTACTTTAGGTGCTGCAGCAGTACCTTAGCTTTGGGTAAGTGTAGGAGCCCGGGGGCTGTTGGGCAGGATCTGGAGGTAACACTGACTGTTGGTAACTGCAGCAGATTGTCTTGTGATTACATGTTTGCCACTGCTTTTTGCTAGTAAGGGTGAGGTGTCAATGAGCTATTGTTTAATAGAAAAACAATTACGTGGCAAACGAGAATTCAAGACAGGTTTCAAAAATGACCTAGTAGCCTAAATAACATGATTCTTTTACTTTTGAAAGATTTTCTAGCAGCACACGTGTTTGGAAAGCTGCTAGAATAATTGAATAATTCAGCACCTGAGGCTGGTGGATGATTCCTTGCAATTTGGCAGGAATGGGAGAGTCGGGAGCAGTAGTTGGCAAGGTGGGGAGTAGCCATATGAAGTTTTATTTCGGGAATCCTCCAGGTCAGTTCTCTGTTGGGTGACCAGGACATTTAGTAAAGCCTTTTGGTAAAGGATTGGAGGTGCTGGCTTTAGAAACATTACAGGGTGGACAATGAACCTTTTTTTCTCCCATCCTTTTCCATCTCTTGCCGAACTTTAACCTTGAAGTTCTCTATCCCTCATCAAATGCCATCCTCTGGGATCTGCCCACTGCCCTGTTTGCCTGACTCACCGTCATGCCTAGCATCTTTTGGGCACTCAGTCCTGTTTTTGGCCTCTTTACTTAACCGTCAATCTTCAAACACCTTGCAAATCTCCTTAGAAATGTACTGTTTTCTCCCAGCTCTTTGGGAGGCCAAGGCGGGCAGATCAACTAGGTCGGGAGTTTGAGACCAACCTGGCCAACGTGGAGAAACCCTGTCTCTACTAAAAAATACAAAATTAGCCAGGCATGGTGGCAGATGCCTGTAATCCCAGCTACTTGGGAGGCTGAGGCAGGAAAATCGCTTGAACCCCAAAGGCGGAGGTTGCAGTGAGCCGAGATCATGCCATTGTACTCCAGCCTGGGCAAAAAGAGCAAAACTCCATCTCAAAAGAAAAAAAAGAAATGTGCTGTTTTTGGTGCCCTCTTGGATGAGATCCTACACGAGCCCTTAAGTTACATAATTTGGGAAAAATAATGTATGATGATATACTCTGGCACAGAGTAGACCTCCAATAAATGTATGTGAAGCAAACATATGCTTAATGCAGGTGCTGGAGATTAAAGGGTGGGCAGTCAGATGTGGTCTCTGCCCTTAGGACGGTCTGAGCTGGGAGGGAGGTAAATGCCAGTCCTCACCAATAAATGTATGATGGTCGTCCATGCTGCATACCAAGAACGGAAAGCACAGGTGTCAAGAGTTATACAACAGGGCGCCCTGACCTTGACTGAGAAGCCAGTGAAGAACGGTTCCTTGAGTATGCAATATGGAGATTAGTATCTGAGAGAAGCAGCAGTTAGCCGGGCAAAATAGGGGACATGAGGTGAGGTGGGGGCTCCGAGAATGGAGGACATAGGCCAGCGGGGAGCAGTGGCCTGAGATGGGCTGGAGGAATAGGCGGAGCTCTCCCGTGTTCAGGATTTTGGTCAAGGGTGTTAAGCTGCAGGTCATACCTTCGAATTTTTGAAGATCCATTGGCTGTATTGGAGAGTGGACTGCAGGTCAGAGAGGAGGGCTGGGAGCTGGGGTGGTCTTCCAGGGATGAGGTGATGGTATTGAAGTGAGAGGGCAGTAGGAAGGGAGAGAAATGGATGAACCTGGGAGGTATTTAGGAGGAGAAATTAGCTGGGTGTGGTGAGGAGTTGGCTATGGGAGAGGGACGTTTCAATAACAGCGGTGAGTTTTCCGGCTTGCCGAGTTGGATGGAGGGTGAGACCATTCTCTAAGACTGGGGATGCTGGAGGAGAACCAGGGGTGAGGGAGGAGCGAGTTTTGGGTTCCCGTGAAACATTCAGGGGAACATTATTCAGATAAGAAGTTAGGTCTGAGGGTCTGGAGCTCAGAGGATCTGCTTGAGTTGGAGTCATCAATCTTTTGGTAGTAATTGAAGGCATAGGTAGGCGTGAGGGCCCTTTGGACTACAGAGGAAGAAGAGAAGACAGAGAGAGTCTGAGAGGCTCCCAACACCCCCATTGCCACGTCACCACTGGTTGTGATGGGAGAAGGGAATTGGGGGGATTCCACAGAGCTCTCCTTTCCTCCCCAGCTAACATTTGTATTTAAAGGTGATTTTTTTGGGGGCAAAATTCTTAAATGTAGAGAACTGACTCTAGTGATGTAAGTTTCAGGCGAGAAGGAGAGTAGTGAGGGGCAGTGAGGAGGTGGGGAGAGGTCCTTTGTCCCATGGAGGGGGCAGATCTACCTCAAAGAGTAACTCTGCAACAGACCAGGCAAGGCTTTTTGTTATGTTCTGAGTCTGGGCATTTAGTCCTCAAGTAGCCAATATGACCATGAATGACAGGCCCAAAAATATCCCCAAGTGGATCAGTCTCTGGTAAAGCTGCGATCTGAACAGAGTGGGCCTGACTCTAAAGTTCATTCTCTTTCTATTGTCTGCACAGCCTGCTCATCAAGCTGATTTGTGTGCAGGGCCAAGTAGATGGGTGTAATAAATATCATGCCAAAAAAAAAAAGGGGGCACTGGAAGCCCTTCCATAGTGTCCCCACATGTCCTAGTTCTTCAGAGCAGAAGATAATGAGGGCATGGCTGGTGTGTGTAAACGTGAGAGCTGGGCTTTTGAGATGTGGAGTAAAAAAGCATCAGTGCCCTTCACTAAAACCAGAGCAGCAGGATATTGCCAACTTTCCTTTGAAACTCAACACACACATTGGTTCTAAACTTGTAGGAGGTGGCTACTTAGTTTCCCTCAACATTTCCTGGGTATTGATATTTCCACATTGCGGTCTCAACGAGTTAAAGAGGCCTTGTCAATAGTGTGCACTCTCCCCGGGAGAAAGATTTCTTTCTTTGCATGGTATTTATAATTTAAGACTTTGGCTGCTATACTTCAGCTGCTGGAGAGCAAGGAAGGAGTGTGTGTAGCCGAGTGTGTGTGCATGTGTGTGTGTGTGCATGTGCATGCGCATGCTTGTGCTTTTTCCTACTTGCTGTTACATAGAATGAAGTAGCAATACAAAGGAGTAGGAAATCAACTACAGATCAGGTGCAGGCAGATAATGGAGATAAGTGAAAATAGATAAGTTTGATGCAGTTGGCAGTGATGGTACTGTGCCACAGGACAGGGCATGCCCTGCCCTAAATCATTCAAAATTGGTGAAATACTACATTGTCTATTACATGCCTAGGGGTTGGTCTCACCCTCCCCCACACCTCCACCTGTACCAATTTTCAACCCTTTGTAGCTCGATGGGTGCTATAGATTGAATGTTTTGTGTCTACCCAAATTCATATGTTGAAATCTTAACCCCTAAGGTGGTGAGAGTAGGAGGTGGGGCCTCTAGGAGGTGATAGGGTTCTGAGGATGGACCCTCAATAATGGGATTAGTGTCCTGTGAGTTCTGAGAGAGCTTCCTTCCCTCTGGTCTCCACTATGTAAGACTATAATGAGATGCCATCTGCAAACCCAGAAGAGGGCCCTCACGATCTTGGACTTCTAGCCTCCAGAACTGTAAGAAATAAATTCTGTATAAGCCACCCAGTCTATGGTACTTTTCTTATAGCAGCTGCAGCTAAGACAGGGGCCACTTCAGAATGTAGGCCGAGCAGTTTTCTCCTCTGGGCACTGTTGAACCTTGATTCTCAGAAGAAGGCCTGTGACTCATATCACATACACTACACTAAGCTTTAATTCCTTTCTGACATTACCATGGAGGCAGGATAACTCCGGGCTTGTGCATGGGGCTAAGGAGAGCCACCCACTGGCCTGGTTCCGTTCCCCA